CACTGCAGTTCGTCCACCGCAGCCTCCTGCCTCCCTGCGCCTCTGGTGCCCTGTCTGGAACCCTCTGCAGTGTCTGTCACACCTCGGTCACCACCGTCACACATCTGCCATCACAAACCTGCCATCTCCAGCCCACCACCGTGACTACAGTTGCACGTCTGCCACAACACCTCCATAGCCTCCATCACGTCTCCATCTCCACCACACCTCCATTGCCTCCGTGGCCTTTGTCACCCCTCCATCACCGCTGTCACATGTCCTCCGTCACAAATCCATCACCTCCATCCCACCCTCATCACCTCCATCACATCTGTATCGCTGCTGCCACACGTCCTCTGTCACGTCTCCATCACCCTCATCACCACTGCCAAATGTTCTCCATCACCTCTGTCACGCCTGCACCCCCTCTGTGACCTCCGTCACACCTCCATCACACCTCTCTCGCTTCCATCACACCTCCATCACCTCTGCCGCACCTCCATCACTTCCATCACCACAGTCCCCCTTCCATCACCACAGTCACCCCTCCATCACCTCTGTCACACCTCAATCACCTCTGCATCACCTCCATCACCTCCCTCCAACTCACCAGCAGAGGCACAGACCCCTTCATCTCACGCTTTCTCCTCGGTTCCATTAAAATCAGCTTTTCCCCTCTCCAAAGCCGGAGGCTGTTTTGCTCATTACTTGGAGGAAGGAGCGGGTGGGGTGCTGGATCTGTGCACTGCCTGTCCTTCCCGAGCTAAACGGCAGGCTGTGCCAGGGACGCTAATTAAAAACAAAATCATTATGATAGCAGTCGGTAACAATAATGTGAAGGTGAGCAAGGTCACGGTGGGAGGAAGGCTCCTCTTCTCGACAGCAGCCTTTCCACGGCACAGCCACAAAATTAGAAATAACTCCGTGGTACAACGGGTGGCACCATTAAAAAAGCCACTGAATTATTCAGCTGTCCTTTATGTCCCAGTGATGAATGGAGTCAAATATTAACCCTTCTGCACTTATTTTGATTTTATCCCTGTGTGGGGTGAGGGTAGCTGGAAATGCTTGCGCATCCTTGTTTTCTGGGAACAGCCTTGACAGTTGTGCGTTACTCAGCTATCATGTCGCTCAGGCTTTGCATGCGGAGGTAGGAATTCATTGTTCCATGTAAGATTTGGAAAAGAGGAAGAAAAGACAAATAGATTGAAGTTCAGCTCCAAAGTCCCAGACTCAAAAGATTTGGAAGCGCCTTGTCAAACACTGGGTAAACTTACTACATTCATGAAAAATAAGGGAAGGTAATAAAAAGAGAGTTCCTAAGATTACTACGGTGTCTAACAAGGCAAAGTTTTGAGTCAGAACCAACCTGGAACTTCTCATTTTGATCGTCACTTTAGTTGTAAAGTTATTTTACAAGCCTGATTCTCACCCCACACTGCATCCCAGGGCAGGGATTTGGGGAGGAGCACATTTCTCAGCAGAAGACTGAATTGTGACAAGATTCCTGATATTACACCCCTGTTTGAGGGCTCGGCCAAACATTTGTGCCTTGTGAAAATGTGCCTGTGAGGCATGACTGGTTTCCTACCCTGCTGAGCTGGAAACCCTGGAGGGCTGGTCCCTGCAGGGATGCCACTTCAGTTATGCCCAGACCCCAATTTTCCATATACTCCCCTATTATTTGCATGGCAATTTAATGTTTATTGCCTTTTTTTTAAGGGAAGCTATGCAAAGCCTCAGAAATAATCATGCTCCAAGACAGGGAAGTACAGAGCAGGCGGTGACCCGAAGCATCCCTCTATGGATCACCTCCCTGAGGGTTCTGAAAGGCTGATGCATGTTTTTTCAGGGATAGAAGGGCTCGTCCTGATTTTTAGTGAAATCCTGAACTTAGCCAGAGCTCGACATCACCTCTCCGCAAATCCCAGCAGAGACTTTAGCTTCTCTGTATACACAGGCAGAGGACCAGAGCCAGCTCCCATGAGGACTAAAACTTCCCCCTAATGCCACTGGTGTTGCAGCCCCAACAGTAAAGGAACAGCCAGCTCATGTCCTCGTAGGGAAAACCCTGATCCAACATAGCCAAGTCAGAGTTTTAAGGATCATAAAGAGGTGTAGGTTTTTTGGTTTTTTTCAAAAAAAAAAAAATATTTTCCCAGCAGAGTAAGACCAGCAAGAACCGAGCAAGAGACTTAAGAAACTTTCATATAAGTATTTATTGGGTTAGAAGTACTGTGCAGTTTATATCCCAGGATATGGATGCATTCCACACAGTTAGAAACAAGCAGGAATTGCTGCTCCATTTGCTATGAGGATTCACCTTCACGCTGGCTAACGCAGACTGCAACATAAGGCAGTGCATCTCCTGCAGTCCTCAAACCCTTGCTCCTTTTACTAGTCTGAATATAGAAATCTATCGCTTGCTAAAAAAAACAAATCTGATTCAAAAAAGCAGCAAATAGATAGTCAGAAAGCCAGAAGTGTTCTGCTGTGCCTCTTACTGCTTCTTGTCCCTTATTCTCAATCTGTTGATATTTTTCAGGAGGCTTCTTCTTAGGAGTTTAGTTAATATCTCAATTTGTGAGTAGCACTATTTACGGATTTTATTTTTTTTTTTTCCTAGTAGGCTATCACCAAGGATTGGTAGAAATACTCAGGGATTCATTTCATGAATTTACATTCAGGGAATTTAGCTGTGCAAAGGTGCACCCAGAATGGGCCCACTTGAGACGGGTGCTGGCGCAGGGCTAGGTCTGGCCTCTGTATCGCCTCGAGAGCCCTTCAGAAGGCAGCTGGAGGACTGGGGAGAGCCCGTTCCCATCGGCACAAGGAGCTGAAAGCTTTGCAAACAGCTCTGCCAAACGGGCTTGGAAGATTTTCACCCAGTGGGAAAGGGCTGGCCAGGTTTCTTGGGGAGAAACCTGCAGGTTTTTTCTTATTTGGTGGATGAAGGGAGATGCCTACGGCAGTTTTGGCTGTGCCTGCAGTGCCGGGAAGGGTGAGGACATCCCCACCGATATCCCACACCGCTTCTCCAGCCCAAAGCATCCTCCTCCCCACTGCAGGGCTGCGGTCCCCCTGGACCTCCTCGAGAGGGATGAGTGGGCTGAACCTCTGGTGGGCTTTTCTACAGGCAAGGGCAATGGAGCTGGCTGGGGGGCTGCGGGGAGCCCGACAAAGCTGGCTTTATCCCTCCCCGCTCACATTTACATGAGATGAGCAAGCCTCCAGTGAAGCAACACAGTGAGGGGCTGTGCTGGCTTCTAGAAAGCATTAGCAAAATCAGGTTGAGTGTCCGACTTCAAGGGCTGGCTTTCTTCTGCAAAGCAATGCTTCCTCCTGCAGCTTATGGAGAGCTTTTCATGGGAAAACGCTTCTTAATCTGGAAGGACTCGCATTTCTTGTATTTCATGGTCAGTCCATACTGAGGAGTGATGTCCACCTCCTCCCCGGGACGAAGGCTGAACTCCAGCTGCTGCAGCATGGTAGCCAAGAAGAGGAAGACCTCCCACCGGCCAATGGACTCCCCGATGCATCGCCTCTTCCCCAAGCCAAAAATCATCACTTTGTCGCTCTCTGTCTTGTTTATTTCAGTCCCCGCAGCATTGAGGAACCGCTCGGGATTGAAGGTTGAGGGGTCCTTCCAAAGCTTCCTGAAGCAGAAAGGAGACCCACCTGACCAAGCTGGTTTCACCCATTGTGATGGGGACAGCAATCAAAAAAACTCCTTGCAGAGAGAAGCATTGCAATGCTTTCTCATTTCACCATCCAAAGACTTTGGCAACCTTTATCCCTGATCTAAAATGCCAACTAAGTGTCAGACCCTATCAGCTCAGTCTATTGAGACCTCTATTTCAAACTCAGATTGTGTTTGCCTGTGCAGATACCAGAGATGGATTTAATTCAGCATGCAATAGCGAGAGATCCTGCAGTTTCAGCCAAAAGGAGGGCACAGAAATGGGTCAGCAGCTCTTAAAAAAGGAAGAATGGAGACCTGAGGGTTTTCCTACCTTGGATCCTCCCAGCAAAACTTCCCAGCCTGTCCCAGCTGGGCTGCTGGGAGGTGCCAAGTGGGATTTTCCCATGTCTTAGCTGAGGATTTCTGCTTGGATATAGGGAATGCTCTCTGACCCTAAAGACAGCGTTCCCATTGCAATGCTCACCAGCGTATGCAGGAGCAGAAGGAATATTGTAATGTTTCTGTGCTGCTGGGCTATTTGGATCAGAAGCTCAAGGCATTTGTATCCAAAATACCTGATCTGGAAACCACCTTCTGTATCAAGCCTTAGACAACTTACTCACCCCCCAGGAGGGTCTCTACTGGAGAGCAGTGGAGGGGTAAGATGGGGCTTTGGTTTCCAGATCCCCTTTCATTCATCAAAGCTGATTATCAGCAATAACAACACGAGCCTATTGAGTTTAACGAGAGTCATGTCAGGACATTTTTCTCCCTGAAAGAGGGAACCAGGCGGTTCCTGTTGAGCACATCCAGAGCCATCAACCCAGATCACAAGGGCTGCTTGGCAGGAGGATCTACCAATTTCTGATTATTCAGCAGCCCAAGCTGTCAACTCTCACACGTACGTGGAAAATCCGGTACATTGAGGACATCACCACGTTACTGCAAATAAATCGGGTAAGCCCTGGTGTTGGGGGAGTTGCTGTAGGGGTGACCAAGTCAACCCAGAGCAGCTCCATGCCCAGGAGAGCCAAGGCTGGGCTCAGCATCAAACCCACACGATTTTTGGTCCGATCTGCCTTTTCCTGCCTTCACAATCCATTCAGCTTTTGGCAGGTTGCTCTAAAAGATCAGAGGGATCTTAATGCCAAACAAACCCATGGCAGCCTGGATAAGCACGGGGGATTTGGCATACTCACTCATCGTGGTTCACTTGCCACTGGTTGACAAAGACGCAGGTACCCTTGGGGATGTAATAGCCGTTCAACGCCGTCGCTTTTGTCGTACTGAAAGTAATACGGGCATAGGGGAAGGGGAGTTAAGAGGAGACCTCCAGCTTCGCAGGAAAACAAAGCTTGGCAAGTCCTAGGGGTGTTTCAGTTTCGATGCCCTATTTATACTCTTAGGACTGGCTAGGAAATACCCCAGTTTGTATTTGGGAGACTAAAGAGTCTCGGATAACACTTTTCCTCAAGCCGAAAGATTCCAGTTTCAGGAAGCTGGATGAGTTGTGATGTGGTTTCTCCTAAGGCAGGGGGAAATATAAACACAGGGGTGTTCACCATCCCTCCACTAGCAAAGTAAAACTACTCCCAGAGGACAGGATTGAACCCCAGGAGGGCAGCAAGCCGGGCAGCTGTCGGCCTCGAAGGCAGCGGACGCAGCCACAGGCACCAGCACAATGGGGCGGCTGCACTATCGGTGAGCACGAAAGCCATAGGGAGCTTTAACATGGGTACTTCATGCCATGCACTGGAATATTTCCCCATAGCAGGAGTCGATTCACAGGCCAAAATGGCACCTCCCAGAAAACCACTCCAAAAAAACCCCTCCAAATAATGTGTCAGCCGCTCCAGTCCATACCTGTGCGGGATGGTGAAAGGCAAGAAGGAGGAATGCCTGAACATCTCCAGGATAAAGGCTTCTGTGTAGGGCAGCGTGCCTCGGTCCGACAGCCTCGGTTTCCTCTCCCGGCCGATGGTCTGGTCTGCAGGAGGTCAAGAGGAGGGAGTGGGCTGGGGTCAGCCCTGGCCAGAGAGGTTTCAGCCCCAGAGGAAGCAGGTTCATGAACTCACCTAGTTCTTCTTGGATCCTCTTCTGGATGTCGGGGTACAAGGCAACATACATGAGGCTCCAGGATAAGGCAGTTGCCACAGTGTCAAAGCCTGGATGGACATGAAAAAGGGATTTAGTTACCAAAAGAGGACAGCCAAACGGGTATTTACAGATCCCCTCACTCTAGATGCTTGTCTTGGAGTGGCTCCCCATCAGCTATCACTGAAAAGCCATCTGCTCTGCTCGCTGCTCAGGAGGGTTCCTGAGAGCCCAGCAGCAGCTCCACATACCAAGTGTGGCCAGGGTCCCACCCCAATAGCCCCAGCTGCCCCACTCAGCCTCCCAGCAGCAAGGCTTTGCCCTCAGAAATGTTCTCACCTGCCCCAAAGAGGTCGCCGACGATGCCGATGATCATCTCATTGGAGAGCGGGACATGCGCATCCTCCCCTGCACTCTTCTCCTGGCAGTGCTCAATCAGTGAGTCCGTGATGTCCCGGATGTGCTCCTGGGGAAGAGCTGATGGGTCAGGGACGTGATAGACACCAGGGCTTGGGAAGCCTCCCCCAGCCAGTGCCAGCTCCTGGGGCGATTAACTGCAGATTGGAGAGCTCCAAGGAGCTTTCCTGGGCAGAGGTGGGGGACAAGGGAGTACCCTCTTCCCCCCATTGCCAGGCAGGCAGCAACTCTGACAGTTGTAGGCATCTCTACCCACATCCAAGAGCATCCAAGCTCTTACCTTATCAAAGCTGCTGTAATGCTCCTGGACAATGTTTTCCACTAAGGAGTTGAAACGCCTGTTGATGTCCTTGAAGAGCTGCATGGTGTGGCTGGGAAGATACCTGAGGACGGGGATGAAGTCAGAGGGGTTGCCAGAACCAGTCACATCCCCAAATTCATTGTTGAGGCCCACCACACTGAGCAGCTCTTGGTCGTTGTGGTCGTAACGCTTGCCAAAGCAGATGGCACAGATGACGTTGGCCACAGAGACCACCAAGTACTGGTTAAGGTCAAATCTCTTCTCCTCTTTCATCAGCTGTAGGAACTTGGTGATCAGGTACTCAGCCTCCTTGGAGACGTGCTCCTCCAGGAGGCAGGTGGAAGAGGAGGTGGGGCTAGAAGAGAGGGAGAAGGTCTTCAGGGCATTCTGGGCCAACTTTCTGCGGGCTTTCCACGCCTCCCCTGAGTCGGGGTTGAAGGCCAGGCTCTGCCCACTTGAAATGTATTTGAAACTGTGGAGGTCAGGGCGGCCCATGAAGTCTTCTCCTTGCTTCACCAGGGCTTGCTTGATGGTGTGCAACCCGCTCAGCACCAGGACGGGCCAGGTGCCGACCTTGACCTCCATCACGTCCCCATACTTCTGGCTCAGCCTGGTGAGGACCAGGTGCGGGTCCTTCCTCAGCTCCAGCACGTTGCCGAGGATGGGGTAGCCTCTGGGTCCCGGGGGGTTCTTCAGCCCCTTGGGCACATGCTGCCGGAGGGACTGGATGAGCAGGAAGACCAGGCAGAAGACCGCAGCCACGAGGAGGACCTCAGTGGCCGAGACAATGCCTTGGTTTCCCACCAGCGGCATCGCAGCCTTCATCGCTCCCAGCATGCAGAAACCTTAGTAATAAACCAAAAAGCCATCATGAAGGGGGGAAGGTCCATGGAGCACCTCTAGTTTGAGATGCTCTTAGTAGCGACGACATGGGACTGAAGGCAGGAAAGCTAGGCTTAACTTCTGATCTGGAGCTGCATCAGTTTTCTGCACTTTAGGAAACTGCTTGCACTTAAAGGCAGCTTTTTTTGCTAGCCAGGTGTAAAAGGAATAGGTCCCACAGCCTTTTCTCTGTGTGCCAGGGAAGGAAATGTGCTCTCTTAACTACAGGACCTCTCTTTTCTACTGCAAGGTCTTTTCCAGAACACTGGACTATAGGAGACCTGAATCCTCCTGATTTGAGTCACCTGGTTGCTCACACCGAGCATCCGCTTGCCAGCAAACTAAATACAGCATTGCCACAAATCTTCCTGAAGGTCCATGGCCATGAAAGATGACCATGGCTGTAGTGTAGGGCCAACAGGCTGTGGGCACCCAGCTCCCAGCTGTCAGAAATCCCTCAGAAAACCCTGAGCCAGGGGTAGGAAGAGGCTGAGTCTGAAAGCCCACCTCCCCTTGGGTTTGGCAGAGTGCTACAGCCTCTCACAGGACACCTGGGTCTCATGGGGTGAGGAGCCTAGGGGGCTGCCGGGACCACTGCATCCCAGTGGGTGCAGCCCAGCTGGGACCCCCTCCCAGCCTATGGTTGTGGATCGTGGCCACCCCAGGGCGAGAGGGGCCATGGGGCAAGGGTTACCTCCAGAAATCACCTTCTGAGAGCCCCAGGAAGGATGCTACGGGAGGCAGAGAAGGGGAACAGCCTGCAGCAGGGCATCCCCCCGGCTTTCCATCCCTCGGGGGTCCCCTGGGGGAGCTGGAAGTGCCCCCGCACCTCTCCATCCTCCGGCAGCCCCAGGGTTACTCACCTCCAGAGCGGAGCCACAGGGGCGCCCGATCCTCCCGGCAGGTACCCCCCGCTCGCCCTTCGCTCCTGCTTTATATGCATCGCCGCTCGCCCTGATTGGCCCGGCCACCTCCCATCACATGACCGAAGCCTAATCAAAGCTGACGTACGTCCAAACTCCTAAAGAACTAACCTGAACACCCCCCTCCCCCCACGCAGGAGAGGGGCCGC